TGCCCTCTGTCTGCCCCACCCCCTTTAATATCTCTAACGCTTACCCCCTCCCTGCCCCCTCCTCTCCACGTAGCCGATGCAGCACCCCCTCCTGCCCCCTCCTCACATTGGGGATTCCACATAGCCGGTGCAGCACGCCGCGGTGTCCCCATGTGTTCCATGCCTTCTGTCCGCCCCACACCTCTTTTGTCTCCCTTCCTGGGGTCGGCGGCACTGGGCGGCAGCCCTTAAATTATATGTTAAATATTGACCACACTGCCTTGTCCTATTCCTGGCCTGTCTTCTCTATCGGCTGTACAGTACTGTAATGCAGTGGAAATTTTGTTGGCATATGTCGGCACATGGAATCATTGTTTGCCGAGGGGCTGTTTTGGTGGGTGTTGGTGAGGAAGACTCAATCGGGAATGCTAGACCGGAGGTGGCATCCCAGCTGGTCACCTGTGGCAATATTGCGGGCAGTGAACCCAGTCCAAAGAAAAAACACCAAAACACACCAAAAAAATACAACATTTTGCTTTCAAAACATTAGTCGGCCCATCCGTCAGCGCATTGCCTGCGACTTGTTGATGTCCAACGCTTCCAGCTTCATTCTCTTGGCGAGTCCGATGCGCGCAGGTTTGCCAGTGGACCCTTTGGGGATATCCTGCCCACAAGGACACGGCGCATGACACGGCAGCATCACGCAGGCAGCAACATGCATCGACTTAAGAACGTCACACCTGCGCGGCGCCCAGTTTACCTTTCCGCTTGACCAGATCAAGTCCTTCATGAACAAAATACATTGTGGAAGCCACTTCTCGCTCATCTTGGCAGCGGAGAATTGGCGTAGTTCTTCCAACTTTTTGCTGTCCATCTTCTCCTTAGCAAACAAGAGGGCAGCGCGCGATTCATGACAGAACCCCCGACTGTCCCTACTACTGAACTCTGCGCGCCACACTCAAACTTCGAAGCTTATCTGGTGGACAAAAGTTGGGAAACAAAAACATGTTGTCGAAGCTGGTGGTGTTTGATGTGTTTGACCCTTTTGGTCTTCATGGCCTCCGTGATGCTATGCGCTGGCCTTGCAAACTAATCCTCTTTCCTTTGCGTGAGGCCAACACACCTTGCACAGTTCACACGTGCCACTGTCACGCCGAACTTTCAAGGCGCCAAAATGGCAACCGCACTTTGTATGGCCACAGCAAAGGTTGTGATGACA